TTGCGCACGATCCGCCCTTGTTAAGACCGCAACCCGTGAAGTCACTCGGCCAACCGTTAAGCTCGCTCCGGTTCTTCCTTCTTCAGGGGGGAGGATGTTGCAACTCAAAAGTAAGTGAAAGTATAAATGCATATGAGTGGACCAAAATGTAAGAGTCATAAGCCTAGTTGGCGGAGCGGCCTAAGCTAACGTACCGACTATACAAACTTGCCAGTTGACGTAGGTTCGAGTCCCCCACCTGCCCAGGTATTAATATGCTAAAAATGGAGGTTACATCTTATTTTTATTTTAACAGTTTTTTGTTCTAATTCGGTTCAGCCTTGATTAAGGCTGACCGCCAAAAAGAGCAATTTGTCTCAAGGACATTACCGACCGGTTCTTGTGGCTAGCTTGCGCCAAGTTGTTTATTGGAGCTGAATATTGTTGGAAAATATGAACATGAGTTATGTGAGTTTTTGGCTTATTTATAAATTAATGAGGATGAATGTCTGCATTGCCGAGAAAAAGAGTTAAACATTATTTACCGAGCCATTTATCTAGTTTACGGATATTGAGCGCACAGTACAATACTCCCAAGAAAATCATATTTAAATACCAACTTTTGCAGTTTTGAATTTTTTTATGTTGAGATGGTTTTCTTTGAACTCATTGTTCGAAACTATTTTATCAACTGCCTTGTAGGACTTGAGTTTTATGGAGTTTATATTTTGTTGAAGTGATTTTGTTGACATGAACAATGTTGTCAAAAGGTTATGTGTTTCTGTTGTATTCCGTAGGTACTGTTGCCAATGAATTTTGACTTTTGTGCAAAAGCAATTTTGTTAACATCAGATTCTCCAAGATTGCGATTGTAGCTTACAAATTCAACAATTGCATCGTATGAATAAGTAACAATTATTGATACAGTCCATGATTCAAGCGCCATTTGGCGTCATCATTTGTGAGAAAGACTTTTCCATTAATAAAATAACTACTTAAGAGAAAGCGCCAACCACTAAACATTTTTACGTTTGACAAAACAGATGCTTCCGCATGTTCATCAAGATCGCCGCAATTTACAATTCTTAATTCGAAATTTGAGGGAAATTCTTCAAACTGTTTTTCAGATGGTCTGCAACAAAGATATGTTCAAGTGAAAAAACCTTGTAAATCGTCAGACAACAGTTACAGTTAGAGCTACACGAGCTAAGATGGGAATATTGTTTTCAATCATCAGGATGCGTTTAAGGCATAAGAGATTTTGGTGAAAATTTTCCAAACCTTTTCGACGCTCATGTTTTAATTTAATTTAGGGAGCATACTAAAAAAATTATGGAAGGAAGACCCAGTATTAAGACTGGGTTGAAATTAGGACATGTCAAATAAGTGTTTGTAATGTTTTTAAACAATGTTACCGTAACGTGGTAAGGAAATGGCAAAAAAATCATTTTTTTAGCCCTATGTATAGATATCTCGAGTTTTTGGAAAAGAATTTGTTATTTGTTACCTAAATGGTAAATATATATGGTATATTACTTGTAGTGGATAGTTTAAAACAAAATATCATATCAAATAATTTTTTGGTAGGACAATATTAGAATTGTTTGAATCTTTCGCAGAAAAATTTTTTTTTTAATTTTTTTTCTCAAAAATTTAGTTTACAATAAGAATTGATATAATTTGAGCAAGACCAGTTTCTATATAGTATTCTTGTTATTATTATATAGTAGTCGATTATTATTAGCTGAAGTTTGCTGAAAGGTGGCTGAATACTCTAAAATTTAAAAAAAATAGAAAAAAATAATCAAATTTTTTCAAAAATCAAAAAATAGAGCAGAAATTATTCGTATAATATTCAACAACTGTCGCAAAAAAAAAATCGATGGCACCGTAATTATATAGGTACTCAATCGGTTTTATATCCAATTTTTTTAAAAAATTTTTGATGAATTTCATGATATCCTCACCCGGTTTTTCGTCAAAGATTAGCATTAATTTATATAAACAAGACACAACGAAGGCCATGTATTTGTTTCTAATATAAGCAAACGAAAACAATTACTAAGAAACTAACAATCTTTTGTTAAACTACCAGTTTTAAATACCAGTTGTTTTGACTATCATCATCCTAGTTTCATTTAAAAAAAGACACAGACGACGTAAATTTCGAAAACTGATTCTCATATTTATTGAAGTTATTACAGTATAATTATTACCTGAAAATCGTCTAGTTTGTATTTTTTTGAAAAATTTACTTTGAGTTTCTTCATCAAATTATAAATTGAAGTACCTGTTGAAAGTTTGTTCTTAAACTCTGTTTCCTTCAAAATCATCCAAGAAAGGATAAACTATCAGAAAAGCAATTTTTTCCTTGGTAGTTTCACCTACTTCTAATAAAAAATTACGCTAATCGTTGTAAATAGAAACAAAGTTTGCGGTACCTCTTTTCCAACCATTTCATGACAAACATCATATCAATAATTTGAACCGAGAATTTACACATCTAGTTCTACCTCAAGTTTCAAAAACAATTTAAATCGAAAACTAAATCATTTAGTTCTTCCAATAATTAGCGCAAAGTTCCAGCAAAACGTTTTTGTTTTAAAAATCCTTATTTTTTTCAAATAACCTGAAATCAGTGAAAAACAGTGTAGAAAAGCATAAATCTCCAAGCATTAGCCTCCAATAATTTTTTCGAAAACTCGCTACTCCATGAACCTAATCAAGGGTTCTAAATTAGGAAGAATTTAAAGTGGCTTCTAAGCAAAATAGTTCAATTAGTCATTGTGTTTGAAAAATACCATTCTTTAGAAGTTTTTAATGAATTATTGCATGCGTGTCTAGTCAATATGTTTTAGTATTCAATGCTATCAAAAAACTTAATACAACAGAGTTACGATAAATCTGCTATTGATGCAGGCATAACTGTACTTGAAAAATTTCTATCACCACAACCCACATCTTTTGAACAAAAGCATAGCAAAAAGATCAAGTTATCAAAACACTATGGTAAAATTATTCATTGAGTTATGTGGTTTTATTTTCTTGATTCCAGACAAAATTTGTTGAGTTTTTAAATCTTTAATGTTGTATGTCGCAAACCTTTGTATTTGTATTACAAAAAACTTTAGAATAGCATTTCAAGAGTTTTTGAGTGTTGGACTTTTTCTGAGAGCAATTTTTCAGAAATCTTGCAAAATTTCAATTCCCTTATCTAAAAAAAAACTTCAAGGAGTTTTTACTAGTTATGCATAAAAAGCAAATATTTGAATTTGTATTTTTTAGTTGCTTTCATCTTCTTGTGATAAAAGTAGTAAGTTGTGAACTGTTTCCAATTAAGTAAATGGTAAATGGAGAAATTTTCTAGACAATGAATTTAATCTTTTTTGACACCTTTTTTAAAAATGATGTAAAAATTTTTCTGTTTTGCGTGCTCCGTGCATTTTTAAGTTTTTTTATCATACGCAAAACCCAATCTTCAAATAATCTTCTCTCTGAGATTTTTGCCTAGAATATATTAGACTACCAAAAATTCAACAATCAGTAAACATAATATTAACAGCAAACAATGGAAAACAGTTTTGTAGAGGAAATTGAAAACTAGCCTATTTTTTGCAAATTTGGCAAATTTCTTTAAGAGGAAAGCAGAAGACTAACTTTTTTAGAAAAACTTCTTGCAAAAATTGTACTACCAAAACACTAGGGTATAAATCAGATTCATTTAGGCCTGCGTAGCACTAAAGTTTTTTGGACTAAAACCAGTCGGCAGTGGTTGACCGCATTTTGTTAAATTCAAATGAGAGATATCAATGTAGTGGGTTTTAGGTTTAAAAGTTTTTCTACCTAATATTAGAAATTTATTTTGTTTGAAGTTTACCTTTTTAGGAAATTGGAATTGTTTTTATGTGTTATAGTTCAATTGACGCGTAGTGCAATCGGTGAAAAATTTCAGCCAGATCCTTGATAAATGAATTGCAGCAAATTAATTGATTGGAATTACGTTAAATAGATGAAAATATAGCGAGTGTTTTTTTGTGAGTGATTTATCAACTTTCATCGGAAAGTTGATTAACTTGAAAAAAATGTCGACTTTGTAAAATAAATAATTAAAATATATATTTGGCTTAGCTATGACAGTTTTTTGTACATTTGGAGTGTGAAAATTGCTAAATTGTACGCTTTGAATTTTTCAAGGAAGTTAAAATTCTATCGCGAATATGTATTTGTGGCAAATTAGTTTGCACTCAAAAAATATTCTAAAATGAGTTTAAGCAAATTCTTTGATCAATTACTTTCCCAATGCGACTGTTGTTTTCAGTACAACTAAAAAATTCTCACCAAAATTTTTTCGGGACAGTTCTTATAGAAAACAAGGCTACT